GGGACTTTAAATATACTTCGACATATCAGTGTTTGAGATGCCGATATTTTCAACAGTATATGTTAAAAAAAAATCATTTTACCCCTGATTTGCAGTAAGCTTTTATAGTTTATCCAAATTACAATGTAAATGAGCACATTTTTAAAATCAATATAATCTTTATAGCATAGTAAAAATTTGTTTATGCCTTATTTCGTTACTTACAAAAATCGATGTGAATAGTTAAAATTTTTACCTGCTGCTGCTGGCTTTTAAAATGGGAACCGAAAACCTGCAATGGTTTCAATTACGTTATATATGCGAAATGCAATTTAAAAAAAAATATTGATGTAATTTCTTGCGGAAAAGTGTTTGCTAAAGGGTTATACTAACCGTTTGACAAATGCATCCGATCGAGACTGTTCCCAAAAGTAAGGGGAAATATTTTAGATCCGCCACTCCATTGACCATGACAATGTCACCTTTCTGAATTCCATTCTTTATAAGCCATTTTGAAAACAGTTTGGACTGTAAATAAAATTAAATAACACTGAGTTAAGATTAAATCACTGACTTATTATTGATTTAGTTTGAAGTCTAATATTTGTACAGAAATAAGCTTTTAGAGAGAAGAGTAGCAAAACAAGATGTGTTTGTGAAACACTGATGCCCCCGTATGGCAACATAGCGAAGATTAAACTTTTCTTGGTACCCAAAGTAGGATATCCTCACTGGAAATACTATTGTGAAATATGACACTAGGCCAAGGTTAATGTTTTCTCCAAGGTCAAGGTCAAAGTTCTTGGTAGCCCATGAAATGTCTTCTCACAAGGATTACATATGTGAAGTATAATGCTTACTCTAGTTACTGAATAGCCAGAGTTAGATCCGAGTAACAAAGAGAAAACGCATTTCCACTTTATAACCAGTCATGCACCCAACCACTCAGGAACCACTAACCTTGGGACCACATATTTCAAAATTTTGGAAATGCTATCATAATGCTATTATAATTTTTTTTTCATCATAAATCATTGATCAATACCACAGAGCAGATTTCAAAGCATTTATTTATCTTCAGACTATGTACTGTTACCCCCCCCCCCCGCCCATGATACCTCTGACCTAGAGAACATGAAATTTATAGTTGCACCTTTCTTTGTCATAAATATATACTAAGATCATTGGCATAATACCTAGGAGCAAGGGAAAAGAGTTTTAAAGAATTCATGCAGTTTCACTATATATAATCATTAGAGCCCCACCCTAACACCAGAACCCTGACCATGGGACCATGAAATTCGCAGTTTTGAAAGAGGCATCCTTCCTCATCATAATTATGTACATAATTTATTGGTTTAATACCCAGAAGCAGAGAAGAAGATTTTTGAAGAATCAATGTATTTTCACTATATAATCAATAAAGCCCCGCCTTAAGATCACAACCCCCTACTTAGGGGCCACATAATTCACAATTTTTAAAGAAACACACTTGCTCATCATAACTATATACTCAGTCAGTTTATTTATACCCAGGAGCAAAGAAGAAGACTTTTAAAGAATTCATGCATTTTCACTACCTAATTAAATCCTTACACCAAAACCCCTGACCCAGGGGCCATGAAATTCACAAATTTGGAAGAGGCAACCTTCTTCATCATAACTATGTACATAGTTTATTGGTTTAATACCCAGGAGCAGAGAAGATATTTGAAGAATTAATGCAATTTCACTAAAAAATCAATAGAGGCCCCGCCCTAACACCTGAATCCCTGACCCTGGGGCCATAAAATTCCCAATTTTGGAAGATGCACTCTGGTTCATCATAACTTTGTACTTAGTTAGCTTGTTTAATACCCAGTAACAAAGAAGAAGACTTATAAAGAATTCATGCATTTTCACTAAATAATCAATAGAGCCTCGCCCAAACACCTGACCCCTTGACCCAGGTGCCATAAAATTCACAATTTTTAAAGGCCACTTGGTCATCATAACTATGTACTTAGTTTATTTAATACCCAAGAGCAGAGAAGATTTTCAAAGAAATAATGCACTTTTACTATATGATAGAGCCCCGCCCTAACACCAGAACCCCTGACCCTGGGGCCATGAATTTCACAATTTTGGTAGACGACTCAATGCTGATTATTATTATGTCAACAGTTTGACTGCTTGATGTCCAGGAGTAAAGAAGATTTTTAAAGATTACATTAATTTTAGTTGTTTAGGCCCCACCCCTTAGGCACCAGGGGGGCAGGGAACATGAAATTCTAAATGTTTGTTTTTCTTCACCCATAGATGCTGTATAACAAATTTGGTTGAAATTGGTTCAGTGGTTTCAGAGAAGAAGCTAACAATGTTCAAAAGTTTACGACCTACGAACGACGACAGACGAAAAGAGATAGCAATAGGTCACCTGAGTTTACTCAAGTGACCTAAAAAGTAGGTAAAACTCCAAGGTCAAAGGGTCAAAGTTCTTGATATCAATTTAAAGTTCTTGTTACAGGCATTACATATGCGAAGTATGAAAGCACTAGCTCTTCCCTTTCAAAAGTTATGGCCAAGGTCGAACTCCTAGGTCAAAGTCAAAAGGTCAAATTTGGTGGTACCCCAAAGAAGCTCTTGTCACAAGGAATACATATGTGAAATATAAAAGGCATAGTCTCAACCAAACAAAAGTTTTAGGCAAGGTTAAAGTTTTTGCGGACAAACAAACAGACAGACGGTTAGGGCAAAAACTATATAGCCCCGAAACTTCGTTTAGGGGCTTAAAAACAAGATGTGTTTGTGAAACACTGATGCCCCCGTACGGCAACATAGCGAAGGTTAAATTTTCTCATATGCAAATAAAACATATTGATACCCTAAGTAAGGCCTTTTTATAAGCAATACAATTGTGAAATATAAAACCCTAGCACCACCTGTTTAAAGGTTATGGACAAGGTTAACGTTTTTTAAAGGTAGGTTAAACTTTGGGGTCACGGTCAAGGTTGTTGATTTCTTAAGAGGGCCTTGTCACAAAGATAACATCAGGAAAGTATGAAAACCTAGTCCTAACCGTTCAAAAACTATAAGTTTAATTTTTTTGAAAAAATAGGTCAAACTCAAAGGTCAAGGTCAACGTTGTTGGCATCCAATAAAAGGAAATTTTACAAGGATTAAATATGTGAAGTATAAAAGCCCTAGCCCTTACCGTTTTAAAGTTATTACCAAGGTTTTTGTTTTTTTAAAGCATTTCAATTTTCAAGGTCAAAATGAAAGTTGGTGGTATCCAATGAAAGGTCTTTTCACGAAGATTACATATGTGAAGTATGAAAGCCCTTCAAAAGTTATGGCCAATGCTTTTTTAAAGTAGGTCAATCTCAAAGGTCATATTTAAGGACATTAACAAGTCACGGTTATCCGGAGAAAAAAGGTTTATATCATCGGTTTATTTACTTATAAAACTGTGATTGAGAGTGATCTCCCGTGTAGAATTCTCCATGAAATGAAAACCAACAAAGCGTATTTTACAGAGGTAAACAAAAGCACACGTGCTTCCTTCAACGGGTAGAATTATCTCTACAGCAAGAAAGAAAAACGGTGGTAGTTTTGTTGTACAGAGACAGACCGTAAACAGTGGTCAACAGACCGTTATTTACCGTACCCATGCTGGGAATGATAATCACAAGGTATGACAAATGCCGAGAACCTGTAAATGTATGAGGTCGTGCGAAGGAGGCACCATTTACATGTAGTAACTGCAAACAAGTATAAAACAAATCTATGCCAATATTTTTTATGAAAATTTGTTTCCAATATGGTAAATTACTTTACATAATGATAAACAGTCAACCAATCTTTACCATTATTAGATACTAAGGAAAAAAACTTTAAAATAATGAACAGTGCTCGTAAATCTGTGTCATGTTTCTAAATTTGCGTTTTCAGTCATGATAACTAGATATGATTGGAAATGAGGATACAATAATGTATATAATATATAAACTTTATGAAATTACTGGATTTTGGAATTTTTTTATGGTAAAAAATAAAGTACAATCTTTTTATGAAAATTTTACATAGGAAATGCATTGAGAATTGTTAAAATATTGATTTGAAAAAATCTAATAAAGAAGGGTGGCTTGTTGGGTTAAATGTACCAGAATATAACATGTTTAGTACCATTACACCTGTTCAGATCTTGAAAAAATCTATACAAAAGCCAGGAACCTTGCCAATGTCCTTAAATTGTTGGTATCCCATGAAAGGTCTTGACACAAAGATTTATTGATTGATTGTATACTGTTTAACGAATGCAAATGTGAAGTATGAAAGCCATAGCCCTTATGGTTCCAAAGTTTCGGCCAAGGTTAAAGTTTGGAATTTTTGTGTACATGTAAAAGTGTGTCAAACTCTTAACTCAAGAGGTAAAAAATGGTGCTACCCAAAGAAAGGTCTGTGAAGTATGAAAGCCATAGTCCTACCCAGTCAAAAGTTATGGGCAAGGATAAAGCTTTTGCGGACAGACAGGCAGACGATGGACAGGGCAAAAACTATATACCCCCCCCGAAACTTCGTTTATGGGGGCATAAGAAACAATCAAAAGTTTGTAGAAAAGAATAGACATTTTTTATGACGTGACGAAATTGATGACATTTATGTAAAACTAGTACAATTCTCAATTTAGCTTTCAGTAAAGGCGTGGCATTCTCGACGTTACATAATTAGCAACTGAAATTTACAAAGCTTTCATTCACTATTGAAGTATACATGGGATAGAAATCGTGCAAATGGCAACGAGTGTATCGAATAACCAATAAAATTGTCTCTTCCAGCACAGCTGTGGAGTCTCTCATCGTTTTCCACAATATTTTAATGTTCCTGATGTTATTTTTCTTAACCAGTTAGAATCTATTCACCATTTGACAGACGTTAATTAAGTAGTGCCGAGAACGCCACGCCTTACTGAAAGTACAAGGTATATACAATATAAGATATATATACTACTCGTGCCGAAAAAAAACCACACTGTTACCTACATCTTTGCGAAGCTTCTTTACTGTCAGTTCTTGGTTGAATTCCGGCGCAGCAAACAACACTTTATCGGGGTCTATTTCCTCGTGTAGTAACACCTCTCCAATGGTTTCCTCACTGAGCGGGACTTCACAGGCTCCATAACAATAGCTCTTATTCAGGCTGTCCGCTGGTTTACAATCACTAACAAGAGAGAGTACCAGAATTTTTTAAAAAACAATATCTGTATCGTGAAAAAAATCCATTAAATGGAATGTTGAAAATAAAAATGTTGTTAAACGTCCCACTAGAGAATATTTTTAAAACTCATATTTGATAAAGAGACGCAACCACTTCTCGGTGGAGATCTGCAAATTTTGTCCTTTACTTGGCACTTACGACCATTGATATTTCGGGCCATTAACCAATGCGACACTGGACCTCGGTTTATGCCATCTCATCTGAAGGACCGGTCTCCAAGTCCAAAAATGCGATTCGAACCCTCGACGTTAGGATCAACTTCTTACTTTGCGACTCAAGAGCAGACGCTCTTACTACTGCGCCACAGAGAAAATTGAAGAAGAGATAATGATTATATATAATGCTTTTCTTTTTTTAGAGGATATAAAAAAGGGGGAAACTGAGCTGTCGTGCTTAGTTCGCAAATTATATGTAAAGTTAGACCTTACGAAGAAAGTAGTATCATTTAAAATCAACTCTTGCATATCGTAATTCCAGGATTCCAAGATTTATGCAATCGAATATATTTTCGCTTTCGTAATTGTACGCTCAACTGTACAAAATAATATACTTTAGGTCTATCACACAAGACTTTCAATTATTAAAATGAACATTTTGATACGAGGGGCGTTCAATAAGTAATGTCATTGGGGCTCGGAAAGAAACAAAAAATGCTTTTCTATGACTTAGTCTTAATGATTTAACTAAAATATTCTCTTACAATTAAAACGCATATCCGTAACATTTTCATTCAATTTCTAATTGTTTTTCGAGAACATTTTTAAGTAAGACCCTTCGTATATTGGAATATGGCAGATCCCATGATTTGCTGTGCTTGTTTTTTTTCTTTCTGATAGATGTTTTTCTAAGTTTAGGAAATGAAACAAGTCAAAGGTTGAAAGATCTGGCAAATTTTGTTGGTGTGACAAAACATTAACTTTGTGTTTATCCCCAAAACATCTTTACTCTTCATGGCCTGTGGGTTTGGCCGCCGTTATGAAGACATTTAATGTGGTGTATTCCTCATTCTGTTTCCTTCCTCTCATAAACCTTTCAAATTTTTGCAAAAAAAAAATGTTTTCTAGACTCCTCCAGAAATTGAACTTCCTTCCCGAATATATATTTGAACAACAAGACCACTAATATTTAAGAAAATAGCATATAAAACTGTTTTATGCTTCTGCAATTCTTTGCTCTCTTAGGCCTTTGGAGTTTTGTCAATTGCATCTTATTGTAAATTTGTTTTGAGGGCTAAAAGCAAAATGGATTCAAGTTTCATTATCTGTTAGAATTTCATACAAATGTGGATAAGTACAATTTTTGATTTTTTTAAAGTAATTGTTTGGATATTCCTACACACTGTCGTTTTCACTCATTTTTCAAAATATAGGGTGACCTTTGAGTATTAAAATTTTTTACTATAAAATGTTTATTTAAAACAGTAAGAACTATCCCGAAAATGATTTTTATCAATTTTGCTATGTGTCTTAAAGTCAATAAAACAAAATCATTGATAATTTGTTGAAATTTCGCAAATTTACATCGGTTATTGTAAGTAATTGTTGCCAGGGACGGTGCCCATTTTTGATGCCCATTTTATAATTTTTGTTTATTGAAATCTACATGTTCACCTGTCTATAAAACAGGCATTGGTTGCTGTAACTTTCACATATTTCAGTTAATATATTTTTGGGATATTAACAAGTTTTACAGCTGCTTTAATGAAGCGTTTAATTTTACTCTAGTTTACAAATTCTTGACCATTCATTTCTAATGCAGTGTCTCGAATAACCCTTGTTTTCCAGCTTCCCACGATGAAATAATACGATGAAAAGTGGTCACACAAACTGTTATCAATTCATTAAAGATTCAATAATGAGAGAAAGTCAAGCTTTATGTCATATGACTGTGTTGTATGCCATCGAGCTAATGACATTATTTATTGAACGCGTACGTCCCTCGTATATGGACACAATCACAGATCATCTTATTATATTTGTTTACTGAATATATTAAGACATGAACACAACTGAAAACAGATTGTCATAAAACTTTGTATGTTACAAATTCAAATTATGCTACGAATTCAAATTTTGTTTTTAAAATATCAGACGAAGCGCCTGCTTCGTTTTCTACTTTCCCGTACAAATACTACTTGGTATTATGCTCAGATATAAAACACTATGAACATTTATTCTAGTCTGCTTTTATACTAAAGCACCGAGTTTATCTTGAATTTAGTCCATTATTTCATGCATCCATTATTTAACATGAAGCCCTTTTTGAATGAACTTTAGATTAAACAAGCATTCTGAGAATACTGCATAGGCAATACATGTCCTTTACCGGGATCCACTTTTCTGTTTAATATGCCATTATAATATCCCGTAAATGAAAAAAAATGTCCTCAAAAAGTGTCAATTTCGGCGATTTATGAAATTCGTCGAATTAAGATGATCTGCTTACAAAGAAAGACGTGTTTGATTGCCATTAGACATATATGTAGTGTCTCATACAAAGTAACTATCAGATTTAACCAAGAGAAATGTACACACACGTGTAACACTAAACAACCATACTTCCGGTTGATTACAAGGGAGATAAATCAACACATTAATAAATGCGAGTTATCTTTCTTAGAACATAAAATATGATTAAAGTACAATCCATACATGCTTTGATCAGTACAGCTCATTTTACATGGTTAGAAAGAACAATTTTACATGTCACTTAGTTAGAATAATCTAATATCTCGGGACAAAGACATTTATCATTTTAACGATAGAACTTTGTAATAATTTTTAACATGACAATCTCGTTTGAAACATTAATTTAGTGCAGCACGAACGGGATCGTGAACCCAAATATTAAAACTAAAAATGCCATAATGCCGTTAAAATTCAATGAAGCGGAACTAAATGCTTACTTGATCTGTACACTAACAAACCGAAAACCAGCTCAATATATGCCAGTGTTTAGGGAAAAAAGCGAAAAACCAATTGAGACAGACTGACAGACGCACGGATCAACCGACTTAAAAGAAACTTATAGTCCCCTCAGATTTCACAGGGGATTAATAAAAACAGTATTGCATGTAGCCCCTAAATACTTACCGATCCATCTTATTTTCCCTTGCAAGTAATTTAATTAATTTAAATATTTACCTTCTCAGTTCATATCTTGACCTTTGAAGATAATGTTGAGGGTGTAATGATAGGGTCTCCTTTACATTCCGTTCAGTTGTTTGCATCACAAATTGTAATATTGTTTTAACTGTATTCTTAAAAAACAGGAAAATTACTTGATATATATTACTATCTTTGTCTCCTTATTTGTGTCACCATTTTAAAACTATTTTTTGCTATTTTCTTAAATGTGCATTGAAGATAATTGTGTAATAAACTGAAAGAGATGTTCTGAAACCTGTATTAAACAAAATCAAAATCCTGTGGCCTTTCTCTCAAAAGTTTTGTGACCAAGATAAATGTTGAAAAAAAAAATTTTTTCATTAAGATATCATTTTTCCTCTACTATCCCATGCAATTAAAAGGCATCATTTTTTATTTCCACTAATAGCTTTGATAAATTGGTAATGAAGAAAAGAATTTACGATGTTTTTTCACTGGTGGAGTAAATCTAATTAAGTAAGTATTACTAAGTAATTACAATGTTTTATTTTTAAATAGGCGTAAGGTATTTCATTAAAGGTAAACTTATCAAAATCTATCCTCTATTAACATGATCAATCCTAATCTTGTAACAATTGTCCAAGATTCAGTATCATAAATAGAGTGCACGTGATATTTATATTGTGACCTCATACTACATGTTGACCATGATGATAACCTACAAATCAGAGAAGGCTAAGGGTGTACATGGACAATTTTTATCTGCTACATTTCTATGCTAACTTGAAGTATATTAACAGATTAGCACACATGTTATGTAGAAGGTCTTAATCTGATTTCATCAACAGATCCCCGCTATAAAAATTCACAATTTTGGAAAAGGCATTCTTGTTCATAACAACAATGTACCAAGTTAGTTTGCTTTATACCCAGGAGAAGAGAAGAAGATTTCCAAAGAATTAATGTATTTTGTATTTTTCACTATATAATAAATACAGCCCATCCCTAACACCAAATCCCAGACCAAGAGGCTCTTAAATTCACAATTTTTGAAGAAACATTCCTGCTCATTATAACTACGAGGGGGTGATCAAAAAGCTCGCAAACTATCTCTATATCTACAAAACCACAATTCAGATTAGAAAACAATTTGGTACACACATAGCCATACAGAAGTTCTATAAACAGCATATGCGGAATAAAGTTTTGTTCCTTGTTTGTGACGTCACAATGTGAAAATGACGTCAATATGTAGGTCACCTGTGACGAAAAATGGCTGTCTCAGTCGTACTCAATTAAAAAACGACTGTAAAATTTATTGTATATCTTAAAAATCCCTTGAAAGTAATGTATAAAATTTGTACATTGTTTATTAAGAGAAGGATATGGAGATAACGAACAGTATTCAATCTCAAAGTCCATTAAACAATATACAAAATAAGAGCAGAGCAAACACGGACCTCCGAAACATCACAGGTGGGATCAGGTGCCATAGAGGAGTGAGCATCCCCTGCCGACAGGTCACACCCGCCGTGTGTTAGTTGTCATGATCAGGAAACGGAAAAAATCCGTCGTCAATTCAGTGTATAAATAATGGACTAACAATTAGTATGAAAAACGTCAGTCAGCATTTGACTTCAATGAGAAATTGTATTTGCTGACAAGGTCATTGTATCGACCATAGAACTAAAGAAATGATGACTTTAAACGAGACTGTTGATATTCTTGTTTCATCAACTTGGTTGTCAATAATTTACCTTGTTTAAGAAATTGTTCATACATAGAGCATGCTATTGCGTATCGAATAAACTGAGATATATAAACGCCGTATGAAGTATATAATCTATTT